GTGGYCDTCARGARGAGCTGGSYRTAGCYAMRCCCACCTCATTCCCCTGCCTGCCATCCATCGCCATTCAGTCACYCAGGGGAGGCAAACTGCRAGRTTAGTTTTAAAATCTCGCAGTTTGCCTTTCCTGGGTGACTGAATGGCGATGGATGGCAGGGGAATGAGGTGGGTGTGGCTACGCCCAGCTCTTCTTGAAGGCCACTGGGGGCGTGGCCTTCAGAAGGAGCTGGGCGTAGCCCCACCCACCTCATTCCCCTGCCTGCCATCCATCACCATTCAGTCACCCAGGGGAGGCAAACTGCGAGATTAGTTTTAAAATTAGTTTCCTGGGTGACTGAATGGCGATGGATGACAGGGGAATGAGGTGGGCGTGGCTACGCCCAGCTGCTCCTGAAGGCCACGCCCCCAGTGGCCTTCAGAAACAGCTGTTCTTACCCATGTCCCACCCCTTGATTCTTGTGGATAAACAGTATTTCTTGTTGTTTCTTTGCCAGTGTTGATGGTGGCTTGCCCACCCTGGAACATGCAACATATCATTGTCCTTCTTTAAGGGCCCCTTTCAAATCTATGTGTGTGTGTGTGAATTAGGCTTGGTTGATCAAGGAAAAAAATGGTTCTAAACTTGTTTCGTATATAGGGGGTACTAGTGTTTCGATTTTAAAATTATTTCTCAAATTTTCTTGAAAAAAAGATCGGAAATAGCAAAAATCTGAATAGCTTCGTTTAAAATCTCGCAGTTTCCCTGGCCTCCCTGGCGACATTATTGTTGTTATTTATATTCTACTTTTCTCTCCTAAAAGAGACTTAAAGAAGCTAACAGTCTTACCAATAAAATAATAAAATCAAATAAAATAAATATAAAAAGTGCAAAACCTAAACATCTAATCATTCATATAGAATTAAAAATACTTTAAACTATTAAAACCATTATCTATATAAATAAAATGTAATGTTCATTTGTGGGATTAACATAATTCAAAAACCACTGGACAAATTGACACGAAATTTGGACAGAATCCACCTATAAGGAAACGAGTGACCATCACTCCTAAAAACACTGAAAAACACAGCAGAAGAGGCTTTAAAAGCAAAAAACCCCAAAACATTACAACGCATGTGCAAAACCACATATATATACGCAAACACATATATACAAATATATACACACTCATTGTTGTTTATTCGTTCAGTCGTTTCCTGATCTCATGGACCAGTCCACGCCAGAGCTGCCTGTTGGCCGTCACCACTCCCAGCTCCTTCAAGGTCAAGCCAGTCACTTCAAGGATGCGATCTATCCATCTAGGGCCCCATGTGGGCCGCCCCGAGTCCCTTCAGGGAGATGGAGGCGGGGTAGAAAAATAAAGTTCATCTTCTTCTTGGTCGGCCCCTCTTCCTTTTTCCTTCCATTTTCCCCAGCATCATTGTCTTCTCTAAGCTTTCCTTTCTTCTCATGATGTGGCCAAAGTACTTCATCTTGGCATCTACTATCCTTCCCTCCAATGAGAAGTCGGGCTTTATTTCCTGAAGTATGGACTGGTTGGATCTTCTCACAGTCCAAGGCACTCTCGGCACTTTCCTCCAACACCACATATATACACACAAAACATATACAGAAACTGGGCCACAACAATGCTTGGCAGGGGACAGCTAAGCTAATGTTTTTGTATTTGTATAGTATGTTTTGGCATTGAATGTTTGCTGTTTCTATGTTGTGCTCCGCCCCGAGTCCCCTTCAGGGTGAGAAGGGCAGAATATAAATGCTTTAAATAAATAAATAAATATGTTAAAAAATAAAATAAACCTTGAAATACAATTCAGAACCAAAAATTCTAACCATTAATAAAGAATTAAACCTGGTTAAAACCATTATTATTATTTATATATTATTATCATTTATATCCCGCCTTTTCTCTCTTAAAAAAGATTTAAAGAAGCAAACAACGTTACGAATAAAATAAAAATTAAAAGTACAATTCAGAACCAAAAACATATAGACGTTAATATAGAATTAAACATAAAAGTCATAAAGTGAATAGCTAAAACCATTATATCCTATATCCCAGGATCTGATCTGTGTCCCAGGTCCTATGCTCAAGGGGCAGGATGCAAAAAAAAAAAATCCATGTTGGAAAGCTAGGCTAGTTAGAACTTTTCCATTTTCCAGCAGCAGTGGAAATGTCATCTCATGAGGATGAATCTACAAGAACCAAGTGAAGGGAAAAAATGGCTTAAAATATTTAAAAATGGGAATATCTAAGGGAAAAAAATCAATTCTCATAGGTGACTATTAGTGCTCTGCTCTTGACGCAAACCATGAACACATTGCATTCTTTTTTAGAACAGCCTGATCCTCACCGAGATGTTCTGGACAAGTAAACATAGGCAGACATACTCCAGCATGTCCTTCTTGAAAAAGAAAGTGTAGAGACCAAGAAAAAAAAATAGGCAGCCTTGGTTTAGTTCTTGGTCCAAAAATGGCCAGTGATTTGAGTAACTCTAGCTATACCAAGATGATGTCTGGCAAGCCAGTAGGAAAAGAAAGCTCAAGTTCCTAATCTTTCTCTAAGTCATTTTATCCCTAATAGAAGAAGAAAAAGAAGAACAGGTGTTGAAGTTGCTGCATCTTCCAACAATCTGAATTGAAATCCAGGGTGGGATTAATCCTAGCAGAGGAGGAGCATCACTGAGGATAAAGAAGGCAGTACCCATCCAAAACCTTAGTCCACAGAAACACTAAAAAGGAAAACCAAAAGCGTTGTGCCCTGCTATCTTAAGTGACCACACAGTACATATCTAATAAGTGATTCTGATAATTTGTGGGTTGTATTGTCGAAGGATTTCATGGCTGGAATCACTGGGTTGTTGTGGGTTTTTTGGCTATATGGCCATGTTCTAGAGGCATTCTCTCCTGACGTTTCGCCTGCATCTATGGCAAGCATCCTCACAGGTAGTGAGGACCTCACTATCTCTGAGGATGCTTGCCATAGAGGCAGGCGAAACGTCAGGAGAGAATACCTCTAGAACATGGCCATATAGCCCAAAAAAACCCTACAACAACCCAATTTGTGAGTTGTTTTCTTCAATTTTTTTGGGTCTACTGCCACTGAACCTAAAGTAAATTTGTAGTAAGAGTTGCAGGGTGGTAAGTATTTAAAAGACTATTTTGCCTCTACTGATCTTGCCTTCTTCCACATCAGATTCAGTAGGCACTAGCCATTGTTGATGGTAAATAAAGCTCCCCTTCAAAGCCCCAACCTCCTTACGTCATCTTGTTTAATCTATTTCCCACATTTGCCTCCTTATATAATTGTACATCTCATTCCCACACAGAAGTATATGGTTTAGCTAGACATGTATTGTTGAAGGCTTTCATGGCTGGAATCACTGGGTTGTTGTAGGTGACCTAACTACCTCTGAGGATGCTTGCCATAGATGCAGGTGAAATGTCAGGAGAGAATGCCTTTAGCTAGACTTATTTATTTATTATGTCGGAAGCAAATTAAGGGTAAAGTTAAACTGTATTTAAAACAGAAACAAAGATAAGAACTTGGCATTATGATAAATTTCCTTTGACCAGAAGTTTGCCACTTAGAGTGCCTCTGGTGTCATTGTGAGCAGGTCCTCCATTATGCATGTGGCAGGCCTCAGATTGCATTGTAGTAGGTGGTCTTTGGTTTGCTCTCCTCCATACTCGCATGTCATGGACTCTTACTTTGTAGCCCCATTTCTTAAGATTGGCTCTGCATCTCATAATGCCAGACCACAGTCTCTTCAGCCAAGTCGCCCAGTCTTCTGTGCTCAGGAGGGAGTTTCTAATCCAGCCTCAGCCACTGATTGAGGTTCTTATTTTTTGCCTGCCACTTTTGGATTCTTGCTGAGGTGTTCCTGCGAGTATCTCTTTCACTCTTAGGAAGCTGTTTCTTGATTTAAGGCGTTGGCATGTTGGCTGATATCCGAACAGAGGATGGGCTGGAGATGTCAATGCCTTGGTCCATTCATTATTGGCTGCTACTTTCTGACGGATGGTGCAATACCGGCTAAACAGTATAATTTCTCCAATGGTATGGGGTGTAGACTTCCTGTGATAATGCGGCATGACTAGAATGTGGCATTAGCTAGACTGCAAGTACATCTTAGGTGGGCAAGCTGTAAGCAATATTTACCAGAATAAATAATACAAAAATGGTTTTTCTGAATATTTTCCTATTAATTGTGAAAAAACCAAGTATCAGTATTCAATGAAGAAAAGGAACAGAGTTTAAAATATACATTTAATAATACTTCAAATACATTCTTATGTTTCTGTCACTTTCTCACCAGATATAGTTATTTTTAATAATTGTGTGTTTTATCCTGCTACATTGGCAAACACTGACACCAACAAAAACAAAAACCAGACTGACCAATACATTCATGATACATGAAGAACTTCATTGAGTAGCTCTGCAGATCAGAGGACAGTACTTTTTTATTGAAACCAGATTGTGGGGATGAAGCAAATTACAGCATATTTACATACTCCTTTATAGGTACATTTGGAAAACACTGATCTAATAAGTATATTCACTTTCTGTTTCAGAACATTTACCCTTTTAACTGTTCTTGTGTGCCTTCGAGTCGTTTCCAATCTATAGCAATCCTTTCACATGATTTTCTTGGCAAGAGTAGTTCAGAAAGCTTTGCTGCTGCCTTTCTATTTAGTCTATGAGAGTGTGACTTGCCCAAGTGGGTTTAATGTCCGAGTGGCAATTCAAACCCTGGTCTCCAGTCGTAGTCCAATTCTCAAACCTCTATACCACACCGGTGGATTCCCTGAGATTATTCGGTCCATTTAATCTTAATTGTGAATGGGTTATTTCTGAGTCCTTTTATTTTATTATTTATTTATTTATTTATTGAACTTGTGCTTTATGATTAGCACCAGTGCAAGGCAGCAAGTTGTCCTTTTCAATACATTGGAAGTAAAATAATTTGTGGTATAAATTAAGCTTCACTCAAATCTACCAGATTACACTTCACCAAAATCAATCAGAAACTGTTCAATAACATTTAAGGCAGCAAATACATTCTTCAACGTCAGGTTCAACCAGTAATAGTCCCTTCAATCTGAACTTTGCTTTTTGAACTCATATTAGCTTATTCCTGTCTAGTACGATCTTTGACTTCTGGAAATCTTTAGGATGAGGCACATGTAAACACTTTTGCAACAGCAGAGTAGCTTTCAAATACATTCAAGTTATCTGCATCTAAATGAACACATTTCTCTATCATGTTGGGCTGGAAAAAAAAATCAGGTTTATAGCAGAAATCATAATGGTACCTGTCTGATTTCTCTTATCAAGTCAAGAAAACTCCCAACTCTTGTACTATCAAAGAAAACAAATTAATTTAAAGGCTTTTCATTGAAAAACACTTCTAGTTTGTTTATTAGTAAATCACAAATGTGCATGCATCAAATTTTGATTAAAGTATTCAGTGCATCTGAAATCATGAGGGAAGAGGTAAACACTGATGTGGCATTTGATTTCTTGACATGCATGTCTGTAATTTTAGTAATGAAGCTTGCAGCTTTCATAGCTTGACTGTAAATCCTCTTTCTAAATTTTATTATCTTCGCCTTTCCCTGTCAGTTCTTTCCCTATGTTTTTCTTTTGCTTCTACCTTAATTCTTTTGCTTTCCTCAAAAGAAAGCGCTGGCTCAAATTAGTGATTAAAGTGAAATAGAGATAACAGATAAGGAATTCAAGCAAAAATTAATGCTGTTTTAGAAAAACATGGTTTACTGTGTTTAGAATATCTGTAAATATCAGTGGAGTTCTAAAAAGCTATGCAATATGTTTTGTCAGTGCTAGTTAGAAGTACCCCCAAATTTTCCTGTAATCTTTGCAATATAGCTGTGCAGCCACTGCAGAAAAAGCTAGGTGACATGTTTCTGAGTGGAAAGCAAGCATTATAGCAATGATTCAGCAGAATATAATTATGGGAAATATCCTGAACGATGATGAAGGTGATGGGGCATTTGAGGGACGGGTAGAAAACAGCTAGAGTGAAGCACATTACTAAAGTTATGCTAGTCACAGGCAACACATTTCACAGAAAACATGTTTGGATACATTCAGAGAAAATAATAATAATACATCAGTAGGTTCTTTTGCCTGATTTAACAGCTTGAGTCTGTTTGTTTTCTTCTTAACATACTTAAGTTGCAGTTTTGTAAATAGTGCAGATATTTATTACTTATTTTGTGCTGGTCAATGACCGAAATAAATGTTTTGATTTGATTTGATTACTTATTTATTTACTTTATTTATATACTGCTTTTCTCAGCCCTCAGGCAATATTCACCACACTTGCTCACTCACACAGTCTCTCTCACAATCTCTCTCTTACATACGCACACATTGTGCTTCTGTGCAAGATACAGACCAGTATGACCTGCATACTACGTGTATTTATAATGTAAAACAGACGCTTGCATCAGAGCCCAGTTTGTTGAGTAATCCAGTCGCGAAAGTACGTTACTCGTGTGTAGACTCCAGGCTTATTTGGCTTTCCGCATTCATCACCCCAGCTCACTATGCCAGCAAGATACCACATGTTTCTTATATCAGGGACAACCAATGGACCACCGGAATCGCCCTAGAGAGAAAGGGGGAAATAATAATAATAATAATTATAATAACAACACTACTTTATTTGTACCCCGCTACCATCTCCCCAAGGGACTCAGTGCGGCTTACATGAGGCCGAGCCCGAATACAACAATACAAGCAAAACAACAACAGTACAAGCAATTAAAATAAAAACATAGACAATAAAATATACAACATTATCAATAAGACAACACGCAATTAAAAACAGTGGGAAGGCCAAATGTAAAGTTAAAATGGAAATAATGCTGGGACATGGACGAAAGGTGATAGTGGCGTTTGTGGAAGGGCATACGAGCAGACCTAAAGAAATGTAAAGTGCTTTGGAGGACAAAGTGCTATGGGATCATTATTCCGGGAAGGCACACTGGAACAACCACGTCTTCAAGCTCCTCCTAAAGACTGCCAAGGTTGGGGCCTGTCTGATGTCTTTAGGGAGTGAGTTCCAGAGTTGAGGGGCCACCACCGAAAAGGCCCTCTCTCTCGTCCCCAACAACCGCGCCTGCAATGCTGGTGGGATCGAGAGCAGGGCCTCCCCGGATGATTGAAGGGATCGTGTGAGTTCGTATACAGAAATAAGTTGGGAGTATGAAACCATTCATCCCAAGAACTGGAAACAGGAGATTGATATGAAGATTATGAAATATTCTATGAAAAAGTCATGCACTCACTCAAAGCCAGAAAGGGCATTTGTGTGCACAAATGCAATTTACTGAATGCATCAATGTCAGGATGAACAAATGGGCATATAGTTCTGAAAGCTGACTTTTAGGTTTGTAATCTCACTTTCTAAGAATGCGTTGGGACCTCCATTTGAAGTTTTGACTGTCAGTTGATTGAATAAATATCCCTGCCCACAATTCCCTGGAGTGCACAGAGGATGGAGTCAAACCTTACACATTTCAATTAGATTCAAGGAAGCTGTAATAAGACCATTACTAAAGAAACCACCACTGGATCCCACTCAACTGACCAACTACAGGCCAATGTCAAATCTCTCCTTCCTGGGCAAGGTTCTAAAGAGGGTGGTGACCTCAAAACTCCAAAGTTTCTTGGATGAAACTGATTATCTGGATGCATTTCAATCTGGTTTCAGGCCTGGCTATGGAACTGAAACAGCATTGGTCACCTTGGTGGATGATCTACAAAGAGAGCTAGACAGGGAGAATATGACCCTGCAGTTCTCCTGGACAAGTGGCTTATGATACCATTAACCATTGGTATCCTTCTAGGCTGCCTCTTGAAGAAGGAGCACTGGGGGAACTGTTTTGCAGTGGCTCCGGTCTTTCCTGGAGGGGCAGACCCAGTAGGTGGAGATGGGGGACTCCTGTTCAATTCTCTGCCCTGCCGTCTGTGGGGTCCCTCAGGGCTCAGTTCTGCCCCCCCCCCCCATGCTGTTTAACATTTACATGAAACCGCTGGGAGAGATCATCTGGAGTTTTGGAATTCGATGTCAAATTTACACTGACACCCAACTCTATTACTCCTTTCCACCAAAAGCCAAGAATGTTGCTCTGGTCCTGAACCAGTGTCTGTCATCAGTGATAGACTGGATGTGAGCCAACAAGTTGAAACTAAATCCAGACAAGACAGAGGTATTCCCGGTCAGTCATAAGGTGGATGAAGGTGTGGGATTTCAACCTGTGTTGGATGGGGTTGCACCCCCCTGAAGACACAGGTCTTCAGTCTGGGGGTGATCCTGGATTCATAGTTTACCTAGGAGCACCTTCACACAGTTAAAACTTGCATGCCAGCTGCGCCCATACCTTGAGACGCCAGACTTGGCCATTGTAATCCATGCCTTGGTCACATCCCATTTGGACTACTGCAACTCTATGTGGAGCTGCCTTTGAAGACAATTTGGAAGCTGCAATTGGTTCAGAGATTGGCAGCCAGATTGCTAACCAGATCCATGTATCGTGAGAGGATGACTCCCATGCTATGGCAGCTCCACTGGTTGCCGGTCTGCTTTCAGGCCAAATATAAAGTGCTGGTCGTTACCTATAAAACCCTAAACAATTTGGGTCCAGACTATTTGTCCAATCGTATCTCCCTATACAGACCATTTTGTGCAATGCGGTCAGCAGAGAAGGCCCTCCTCTCAGTCCCACCCCCATCACAAGTGTGGTTGGTGGGAACAAGAAAGGGGAGCTTCTCCATGATCGCTCCCCATCTCTGGAACTCCATCCCCAAAGAAATAAAATCAGCACCTACCCCCCCCCCCCTTCTTTAAAAAGCTCTTGAAAGTGTACTTGTGCAGTTTGGCACATGGAGAGGAGGAGGATTAGGACATTTCCGTTCCACTGGAATGCTGGCTTACCTATCTATTCCACTGCTGTTATGGTACATGAGAAGAATAGCCTTGATAGTCATTTTAATGTGTTTTAATTGCCTTTTTCTAGGATTTATGTCTAAATTGTTAATTTATGTTAGTCCTATAATTACAGTATATTCTGGCGTATAAGACTACTTTTTAACCCAAGAAAATCTTCTCAAAACTCAGGGGTCATCTTATACGCGGGTGTAGTCTTATGCATGGGAGTCGTCTTAACTCTATATTTTAACTGGAAAAACTGGGGGTCGTCTTATACGCCCAGTCGTCTTATATGCCGGAATATACGGTAGGTTTATTTGATTATTTGTATTTGAGTTGGGCATTGAATGTTTGCCTTTCTTGTGTGTAAAGTGCCCTGAGTCCCTTGGGGGGAGAGAGTGGTCTATAAATAAAGGTTTGTTATTATATCATTATTATGTGACTGATATAGGGATTTGACAGTCTTGAAGAAAGTAGTGCGTTCATACCTCTGGATATTTGTTGGGGGAAAATCGCTATATCAGCACGAGTGTATGAGGTCTTAAGGGTGTTTCCTAGATATAAAATGCTCACAAAATAGGTTCATACTATAATCACTGTTATTTTAAAGATGCCACAGAAGTCTGCTTTTTCACTAGAAAGAATATTCCACTAGAGAAGGCTAAGAATACAAGCTGAGTTCTCACTTTCAAAATTCCCAGAGATGGAAGCAGACACTCAAGATTATCATTTGTAAAGATCTCAGAAGGGGGCTTTTAGAATAAATGTTAAAGTTGGGAAATGATGTTTCTCTATATATACATGTTTGCCTAAGTTGTTTACTTGGAATTAATTCTGTCAAATGAAAATACACATACTTGGCAGGAATCTACTCCTCCTTCCAGGTACCCGGCACACAGCATTCCAGGAGTTATAGCCCCACTGTACACTTCTTTCCGATTGCAAGTGTCCGAGTCTATCAATTTTACAGTTGCTTCCTGAAGAATGTTGGGGGTTTTACCTAAACAGAAATATTTCATTAATACCTCTAATTATATGCTCTAGTCTCAACAAGATATACAATAAATCTTTAAAGCATGTTCTTTAAAGTGCCCTTAAGTAAGTATACCTATACATACCAATACCCTAAATCCAATCCCTTTAATCAGTGGAATTTATGTAAATGTTTAATTGCCCCATATTAATGAAGTCAATAAATCATTTCTAGTTGAGACTAGCAGTTGGATTGAGGCCAATGTATTTCAGGTTTGCAGAACAAAACGGTATTTTAATAATATAAATATTGAATACTATTTATTTATTTACTACATTTATATGCCGCCCTTCTCACCCCAAAGGGGACTCAGAGTGGCTTACAAGTTATAATTGTTTCTGATTTCTGCGCTATTTTCTTTGGACTTCAGTCTGGTCTTGATCTTATACAATAAAGACACAAGGAATCATTCAATAGGTGTTGTTATGGCCAGGCAGCCAGGCTGTTGAAGCACTCTCGCCGTGAGGCTGTGGGGGCCATGGAACACCCTGCCCAGGAGTTGTAAGGCAGCAGGGCCAAAGAGGTGTTAGCATTCTCTAACTACAACTTCCAAAAACCCCAGGAAGCATGACTATTCGGCATGGTCCACTCTAGTGAGATGCAATCATATGATTGAAAACATGTTTTAAATCATTAGATTACCTAATCATTAGATTACATTACCCTCAGCAAATTATGGAAATATCACTAATGCCACAAGGGAAAATACAGTTAAAATGCTATCTTAATTATTCCAAGATAAGGTCTTTATTAGGAATTTCATGAGAGTTGTAATCTAAGAGCACCCCAATGGCAAAAGAATCCCCACCCCTGATTCAAACATATGCAGAAGATTTAAATTCTGATCAGTGGCATACCTGTTTTAAAAAGTACTGCCACTGTCTGAAATTTGGGATAGTAGTGCTTACTTGTACATTTTTCTCAGAATTATAGCCAATGAACACTCACAGTATGTACAACACATGGTCAAGGCTAGCCCTACACACAAGCAACTGTGTGTGTTTTCGTATCTTCAGCAAATACATCAAATTTAGCTTCCATATTTAGGAGTTAATTTAACATTGGATTTCCTTGATAAAGGATTCAGAGGGGTACAAATGTTTTGACCAAATCAGGAAATCCCGAACTTTGTGGCTAGAGCTGGATTTCAACCCAAAATTTCCAGGGAGCCTCTGCTTGGTCTTCTACTGGAGAATCAAGTGGGTGAAGTAAATAAACAGCCTCTTCTTTGCTAATTAAAACATCTAAACAAAGAAAACGAGAACTGCACTGCCTTCTGGAAAATGCCCCTAGTATCTCCTTTGCTCCTTGTCTCAGATAATTTTGTTCAGATTGATATAAAAGGGTCCATACACATTGTCATCATCCCTCCTATGCTCAGTTTCTGCTGCAGTTCTTAGTAGTCTGTTTCTCACTCTGATTCTGGTCTATTATCTGGCTACTCCCCGTACAAGGCCTGCCATATGTAGAAACAGGGCAGGAGGTTGATAAGAGATGTATCCACATTTAGATTTATTTTCAGCACAATCCAGAAACTAGTTTCATTGACACACTAATTTGTCTCCCGTTTGAAAAAATCCTTACTTCTTCTCAGTATTGTCATTAATGAAAGTAATTAAATATTGTATTCTAAATGAACAGACATACCATCATTACTAACTGCTCCCCATCCTGTAATAACGGCATCTATATTGTATGGGAAAACATCACTTGCATCTGGAAGGCAAACCTGATGAACAGCTGTTGTAAACTCCACACGTCTAGCTAGCTGCAAAACAGCAATATCATATTCATGGGCAGGGTATTTGTACTTTTCATGAACAATTATGCTCTTGACACGCCGTATCATTAGAGGAGGCTTTAAATAGGTTCCAAATGTCACAGTCCATTTACGTGGATCTCTTGCCCTGAAGAACAGGTAAGAGTTCATGATGAAGTCACACTATTACTAAAATTACTAAAATTAATATGTATTAATATATGTATCTGACCAAGAAAGAAAGACAGAGAGAAAGAAAGAAAGAAAGAAAGAAAGAAAGAAAGAAAGAAAGAAAGATAGATCTGGATACACCATAATTCAAGATATTCTCAACAACAGAAAGACACAGAAAGGTTGGATCTATGCAGGTGAGCTAATGGTTGCCATTTCAAGGCAAAGTGTTCCAAAGAACAATACCACAGATATGGAAGATCTTAGAAAAAAAAAGTCAATATTAACTTATATAACAGATAAAATGATGTTATTGACAGGAGAGATTTTCAAACTGGGAGAAAAATTTAGTATATGCCTACAAACACTGATTCTCCAAACAAAGATGTCACTTCACGTTAGTGACTGAGGCAGATATGATGCTGAGAATACTATTGTTTGCTCTGCAATTCTAGCCATAATTGTCAAAAGCATTGTTCATTATGTAAGACTTTTCTATCTTATCTTTTTTTTTTCCATCATGAGGCTCAAGGGGACAGCAGTTCCTATATACTTTAATCATGCCATTCTAGTAGTTACACCAACACAGAGAGTAAGTTTAACATAGATTACACTGTTCAACAGAGAAAAAGTTGTGGGCCTGAAAATAGTTGTTCTTTTATGATTTTGGGGTGCTGAAAACGAAAATGACATTTAAAAATGTATATTGGCTCTAGTTTTTATGATATAAGCAATCACCTGATCACATATGGTTGAAAAAATGCATGTTGCGACTTACACTATGGAAGATTCTAGAATACTCTAAAAGTTTGATGACGTAGTATTAGTGCCATGTGCAAAAGCCAGAAAGCCCTATATAAGGCCAGACTTTTGAACGGTGAGGGTCAGTCAGTTGAAGACTGAGACAGTATCGTTAAACATCGTTTTACATTGTTCTTTTTACTGTAGTTATGCCTCGCACGTGTGTAAATAAAGCACTATGGAAAAAAGATATCAAGGCAAATGGACTCTGTCAATGCTGTCAGACTACTGCTGGAGCATTGTAAGAGACAATCCTTTCCTTGAATACAAAAGAAAAGTCAAGAGAAGCAAACAGAATATAAACTAAAGTCACGATTAAAGCGACATTTAAACTTTCAGACTTTTCAACTGCATTAGGCCTACTAATATAGTTTCTTGTGGCACAAACATAAACAATAGACTAATTAAATAAACATTTCTCATGTATAAACTATTGGCAATATAATTTGACTAAAATTTAGTAAATATTCACGGTTTATATACATGCAGTAAGGTTAGGCGCATCATCATAATATTAACGAATTACCTATTGTGGAGAAAATTGAAATAGCTGTTGCATAAAAACCCGAGCCAATTAACACATTTAATTATTATATTTGAATTCAGCATGTTAAATTTATTAAGAAACGGTACATTTCGTTTCCGCAACTGAGAAAAACTGAAAATTTGTAGAACAGTGTTATATGCATAAGGTTAATTTACAGTATATGGTCTGAATGTGATTACCTTGGCATGAAATATTAACTTCACACATGCCCAAACAGAGCAATAGAATTTTCTATGAATGTTAGAGAGTTGCATGTGCTTAATTTTATAATTGATTGAATAGAACTCAAAAAGTGCATACATCTATTATCCCAAACAGACACTTACTCTCTAAAACAGTGAGCTGCTGACAGAAGCCATGTGTTACTGATCAGTGTCGCACCACAACGATGGAGAGTAGCTCGCTGGAGACTGACTTGCCACGGCCATTCTCCAGACCTTGAAGTAGCTTGTCCTCCAGTTATTCTTGATGTGCCTACTGATTTGTTGTATCGAAGCCCACAGACTGTTAACGGCATATGGAGAGAGAGGAAGTTTAGGATTTCTGAAGTATATGATTTGACGCATATAATCGTAAAATCCAGGAACACCTGGTAGCGCAATGGGTTAAACCCTTGTGCCAGCAGTACTGAAGACTGACAGGTTGGAGGTTTGAAACCGAGGAGAGTGCGGATGAGCTCCCTCTGTCAGCTTTAGCTCCTCATGTGGGGACATGAAAGAACCCTCACAAAAAGATGGCAAAACATCAAAACATCTGGCATTCCCTAGGCAATGTCCTTGCAGACAACCAGTTCTCTCACACTAGAAGCAACTTGCAATTTCTCAAGTTGCTCCTGACATGGAAAAAAATAATCATAAAATCATATAACTGCAGTAGCTGGGGGTTTCCCTCCATGCATGTGTATATTCACGAAGGGCAAGGGTCCTCAAATTTTTTAAATAGAGGGCCAGGTCACAATCTCTCAAACTGTTGGAGGGCCGGATTATAATTTGAAAAAAGCATGAATGAATTCCTATGCACACTGCACATATTTTATTTGTAGTGCAAAAAACACTTAAATGCAATACAATAATTAAAATGAAGAACAATTTTAACAAATATAAACGTATTAGTATTTCAATGGGAAGTGTGGGCCTACTTTTGGCTGATGAGATAGCATTGTTGTTGTTGTGTGCTTTCAAGTCATTTCAGACTTTGGTTGACCCTGAGCGAGGACTGGGTAAATGACCTTGGAACGCCGTATCTGGCCCTCGGGCCTTAGTTGAAGGACCCCGACGTAGTTGGAGGACCTCTGACGTGGGTTTTGCTTATAATTCAAAGGATTAAAGGAGCTTTTTGATGATCTGCTCCTTTGACCCTTTCAATTATAAGCAAAACCCATAAATTTCACATGGTTCATTCTTCTGGCATGTTTTCGCTTGTTTCTACCACCACATACAGTGGTGTTTTTAAACTGCAAAGTATATTTGCAACCAAAAACAGACTGCCTTCTCCATTTCAATAGTTTCCAGTTTTAAAGAATGGACGGGTCCCTAGCCTGTCAAATAAGTACGGAACACCTGTACTAATAACCATTCTCTGCTGCCCTGTTGCTTTGACCGCCCACCATCATTTCTATAAAGGAAAACCAGTACAACAAGGAGAGGTGAAACGCTAACCTGTGTGCAATGTTATGTAGGCAAAGATTCAACCTACAAACATAAAATCTTTTTTTAAAAAAAGATTAGTATTTTAAAAATACTAATCTTCTATACAAAATGCCAATAAATTGAGGGAATGATCAAGTGATCTAGATGGCCACCAAACCTAGGTGACCACACAGCAATCTTGGCCTATGTCTTCCCCAAACCCCTGACTCCACCACAATCATAATTCAGGGATGAAACTACATGGAGCTGTTTGTTTGTTTGTTTGTTTTTAAAGCAGGCTCTTCCCCCAAATGGTAGGCACCAGGCACCTACAAGTAGTATCTTCACATCAAAATGAGAGAAAAGTTATGTGTTCCAACAGGATTGGGATTGAGGTAAGAACATACTATTAAACCTGTATAGATTCATTCTAAGAAGGTACACTCTAATCCAGAGGTCCTCCAACTTTTTAAACATAGGGCCAGGACACAGTCCCTCAAACTGTTGGAGGGCCAGATTATACTTTGAAAAAAACATGAATGAATTCCTCTGCACACTGTACATATCTTATTTGCAGTGCAAAAAACCCCCCACTTTAAAACAATACAATAATTAAAATGAAGAACAGTTTTAACAAATATAAAATTAGTATTTCAATGGGAAGTGTGAGCCTGTTTTTGGCTGATGAGATAGGATTGTTGTTGTTGTGTGCTTTTGAGTCGTTTCAGACTTAGGTTGACCCTGACCGAGAGCCGGGTAAATGACCTTAGAGGGCCGTACCCGGCCCTCGGGGCTTAGTTTGAGGACCCCTGCTTTAATCTGTATGAATAACTACAGGTCTATTGCAAAGCAGTGAGAGCTCCAAATCTGTTGTCCTGATTAAAATGCTATTAAAAGCTACAGCCAAGAGGAAGTCTAATAATAATAATAATAATAATAATAATAATAATAATAATAATTTATTTGTACCCCGCTACCATCTCCCCAAGGGACTCGGTGCGGCTTACGTGAGGCCGAGCCCAAACACAACAATACAAGCAATAATAACAACAATACAAGCAATTAAAAAATAGACAATAAAATACACAACATTATCAATAAAACAACACATAATTAAAAACAGCGGGAAGGCCAAATGTAGAGTTAAAATTGGAAATAATTTTAATGATGAGCTGATGCTACTGTTTCTGCTAAATAGCAGCTTATGTTGAAGAAAAACTTGCAAACATTATCAGTAGCAACACTTCCTCATACACTGTAGCTGCTGAGTTGAGACTAGTCAGTAAGGTTGAATTCTCAGAAATGGTTCAGAATCTTCTTGAAAGGGGGTTACTAATATGAGCTTGTGGGACTTACAGCCATTGAGGATAGTTTCAGCTGTTTGTTGCTTTATATCTGGAAAAAAAATAAGTAAATAAAGTTAGATATCACAATGACTTTATCTAGAGGAATAATTCATTTTTTATGAAGCTGCATTATCAGATTCATTATAAGGTCATTTTCTTTTGTTAACACAAATAGGGTTATGTATGATCTGTAACCCAAGAGGATGGGAATTTTTCACAGTTTTTAATTGGTTGAATAGCACTTCTTGCCCCATTTTCTAACCATAATTATGTGTGTTGTTTTATAACTCTTCTCTGACTCTAGTGTCGTCTTCTTTTATAGGTGTTTCCCAGTATATTTCTTTCACTTGTTACCTCTTCACCACTATCTCCATCATCGCTGTCCTTTCCTTCACCTTTATTGTCAAAATACTTCCAGTATCGATATAAACTCCCATATTAAAAAGTTCTTTTTTTGTTTCTCAAAAAATGGATGGGAAGCAGTCTTTTTATCCAAAATGTGCTTCACAAATGTGCAATACAGCAGTAATGATGCAAAACTCCGTGCTCCACCCTTTCAAGTGGTAAGAGTTTTATTTATGGTGGTTCATGGTTGCAGAGACATAGCCATTTCAAATTGTGTCCAACTTTTTAAAATACTCAGTATACTGAATGCACCATGTAAAAGATTATTATTTAAATTCGATTAATTATTTGGAGGCTGCAGAGGCTCTGCCACCAATACACAATATTCTGAGGAACTTTTATTCTGGAATCAGGCCATCACCAAAGACAAAAGGGGTATTCATTTTTTGTTTGTCCAGAGTTTTAAAAGTAAGCTGAATTGTGCTGAATTCAAACTCAGGGCGCAGAACACTGAGGTGGATATTAATGAGATTTTTCTAACTAGTTGCTGCCACCAATCTAGAAACTCTGTTTCCCTAACTTGCTATGGAACTTCTTCACACAGAGGCACACTGAGACAGTAGTTTGTTAACAAAGAACAAAGATGTTTATTTGTGTGATTTTCAAAAACACAGGCACTTAAGCATAATGGTTGCAAGAATGACTTATTTGGTTACTCAAAAACAGTAACTAAGGCAACTACATCAATATAACAATACATCAATACATCAATATAACGTCAATACATCCATATAACTAACCCATCACGTCTCATCAGTAAAGTCATAATCCGATTTCCATTATTCCAAGTTCCAAGATCAATCAGTTAATTGCACTGCTTAATTAAACGCCTGTTCAAAGAGCCAGGTCTTCACTCTTCTTCTGAACGCCAGCAAGAAGGGGGGTGATCTAATGTCTGTGGGAAGGGCATTCCACAGCCGAGGGGCCACCACTGAGAAGGCCCTGTCTCTCGTCCCCGCCAGCTGTGCCTGTGAGGCTGGCGGGATCGAGAGCAGGGCCTCCCCGGACGATCTTAATGTCCTAACTGGTCCATAGGGGGTGATGCGTTCGGACAGATAGGTCGGGCCAAAACCGTTTAGGGCTTTAAACGCTAAATTGAATTGTGCCCGGTAGCAGATTGGCAGCCAGTGGAGCTGGCGCAACAGAGGAGTGGTGTGCTCCCTGAGTGCCACTCCTGTTAACAACCTGGCTGCCGATCGTTGGACCATTTGTAGCTTCCGAGCAGTCTTCATAGGCAACCCCACGTAGAGAGCGTTGCAGTAGTCTTAACTCTTAACTCCCTCAGACAACTAGCAACACTTCTTCATGACTAGAATCCTTCTACTTCAAACAGTCCTTTTCCTGGGATCTGTTTCTAATCACTATACCAGCTATTCTTCTCTAATAGCTCTCTGAACTCTCTAACTAACTTCTTTGGCTTCTCTATCTCCCCCTCTCCTTCTCCTAACTCTCTCCTTCAAACACCAGAACCTGACTAACTGTTAGATTTCAAAAGGCACTCTTCAAACCTAATTTTTTTCTGCACTTCAACCAAGCTCCGCCCACTTTCTCCCAGCTAATCACAAGGGTTCTCCACATTTCCCCCAGGCTGCTTCTAAGCTCCGCCTCCACTAGGAAATGACTAACCTAAGATGACTGCCCCCAGGCACCATCACCCACAAAATGCCTGCTAAAAAACTGGGCCTAATTTCTGTGCCTTTTCCTGGTCTAAAGGTAGGCAATTCATCACACACCACATCTGCACTGGATTACTACTTTTGCAGGTGGAAAATCTGATTTGTTGGAAACATCTTACCATTTATGGAATGAGCTACTTGGAGGAGGAGCATTAAGAAAAAAATCACCTTAAAATATATTAACTATAAACTCTACTAATATATTTAGATAGCAATGCCATCTCTTATCAAAATTTCTATGGGATAGATGTTTAGAAAATAAAGTGGGTTATTTTAATTCAACAGAAAGCCTGCAGTTGAAATTCATTCCTGACTTATCGAGTTGATATCCATACTCTCAGGTGAATACTAGGCAGAATAACTGGGACCTGAAAAGGGATAATGTTTTTTTCCCACAGATCACAACTAAACCAAAATGAGATCCATGATTATTGAGAGAGGGGGGAAGATAAAGCATTAAGGATGTGAAAATGCATAAACCTTCATGGGTATCAGTGTATCATGTAATACCAGTATCAGTGTATCAGTGGTAGCTTTTAAAATAATGCAACACACGAATACTTTAATGGTAAGTCAGGCTGAGGATGAATTTGAAATTGCAACATGCTGAAAATAATACTTAAGGGCCAGAAGAGTGAAGCAATGTAGACAAAGAATGGGCAGTTGCCTTTTAATTCACAAGGCTGTGATTGCTGTGTATGCATAGAAGGAGGAAGAATTGGACACAGGGGCGGCTCAACCCATTACGCAAAGTAAGCATTTGCAGTATAGTTGATTTTGCCCAGGGGTGCTCTTGAGGCGCTCTTGGAGGAAAAACAGACCTTGACATATGCAAGTTATAGTTACTGGGATGTATAGTTCACCTACAATCAAAGAGCATTCTGAACTCCACCAATGATGGAATTGAACCAAATATGGCACACAGAACTCCCATGACGAACAGAAAATATATACCAATGATTGGTTGGGGGGGGGGGGGGCAAAATACTGTTTGCTTACTGAAAATTACCTAGGGCCGCCTCTAATTGGACACATGACCAATAAAACAGTATTTGTGCACTGGCATCAAATCCCCAGAAGGTGGTGCTCTGTACTATAGAAACAGACTTATTTGGAGCATATACAAGTTCTTCACCTTTTGCTTAAGTCCACCATTCCAAATATTTAGGGCAGTTAAAAATAATATTAAAATATGAAAGCACTGGAAGAATAGCATAACACAGCAATTAGCATAATTTGCCATATTCTAAGATTTAAAATATTTCTGTAACACCTCAAATGGAGAAAACAATTCTGTTTCAATGTTAAATCTGAAATCAGATTAAAATATATCCAAATACATGCAGTCCACGCGTTATGAACAATACATAATTGCTACCCCGTTCTTCTCACCCCCGCAGGGGGACTCAAGAGAGGTTCTGTAAGTTTATTCTTAGGCTGAATTTGTATGTAAGTCAGAACAGGTAAAGATTTTAAGTGTAACTCTGACCAATAGATTTTTTAAAAGTTTTGGATAGCACAGGGGTTAACTCTCCTGCAATGTTTCTTTTGCTGTCCGTCCCTGTGACGACTGGATTTTGAAAATTTTGGCTTGTTGTAGAAAGACAAAACTTCAGTTGAGACACCTTTTCCCCATGATAACCCTTCCAGGAATGAATTTCCCTTTCTAGTGGTAGATTTCCTTTCATTTCTTATTGTCTCGCTTCCGTTTGTAATTACAGGTCAGATGTCTGTAACTGTTACTGGATGGCTGCGTGCCAGCAGGTTGAGAGTGAATCCAGCAAAGACGGAGATCCTATGGCTGAGTCAACCGGGCAGTGGGGATATCCAGCTGCCTACCCTGGATGGTGAGGCGCTACGCCTGTCATCATTGGTAAAGAGTCTGGGAGTCCTTTTGGACCCTCTGCTGACGATGGAGGCCCAGGTCTCCGCCGTTAGCAGAACCGCTTTTTTTCATCTGCGGCAGGCTAGACGGCTGGCCCCCTACCTGTCCAGGGACGACCTAGCTACGGTGATCCAGGCTACGGTCATCTCGAGACTGGACTACTGTAACGTCCTCTACATTGGCCTTCCTCTGTCGGTGATCCGGAAGCTCAAGTTGGTACAAAATGCAGCTGCTCGGCTTCTTGCGGGAATTCCGATGAGATGCCACATAACACCAATCTTATTACAGCTGCATTGGTTACCAATTGAGCACCGGATCACTTTCAAAGTGATGGTACTCACCTTTACGGCCTTGCATGGTCTGGGGCCAATGCACCTGAGGGACCGCCTCACCCCCTACCAACCCCAGAGATCCCTCCTTCTGATGACCAAGATCTATCGGAAAGTCCCAGTGTCAAGACCTCGCGTCTAACAGCAACCAGACGCAGAGCCTTTACAGCAGTGGCACCATCACTCTGGAATACTCTGCCACCTGATGTCCATGCCTTGCAGGACTTATCAATTTTCCGCATGGCTTGTAAGACATACCTGTTTCGACAGGCCTTTGATTTTTGATATTGCTGTTTTTAAATTGTTTTAAATTGTTTTTAAATTGTGTTAGATTTTAGCCATTTTTGTAAGCCGCTCCAAGCCCCAGGGGAGTGGTTCGAATAATAAATAAATAAATAAACTCAGAGACCGCCTCATCTAAAAAGATCTCGACGCAGATACTAACCTCTCATTGATTGCCCACTTCCAAACCCTTTGGTTTGTATTCTCTTTATTCAAGCACTGAAATTCAACCAAATGCACTATGACTATACAGTGCTATAGACAAATCCATTGGAGGTACAACAATAGAAGCCCAATTATCGTAAGTAACACATTATTTCATCCTTGAACTGATTAACAAATAAGTTACAATCAGACTGTAAGAATGAGCAACTGTGGCCTTCCAGGTGCTGCTGGATAGAAACTCCCATTGTCCATTCTATATTAGCCAGGATGAATGAGAACTGTGGCCTGGCAACATTTGGAGGATCAC